AAATTTTAAAAACGTAACCCAAAGGTGTTTTAGAAAAAATTTTCCCAAAGGTGTTTCCAAAAATTTTTTTTTTTTTTTTTTTTTTTTTTTTTTTTTTTTTTTTTTTACATCTGTTTGCAATAGGTAATGGTATTAATTAAATTAATTCAAAGCAGACATTTTCTTAGTCAATCTAAATTAAGTATGAGTGATGTGATAGTAGCTCAGAATTAGCCACAGGTTTTTTACGTGCAAAAATGATTTCAGGTCATTTCTTCGACACCCAGAAACAGATCCACTATGAAGACAAAGTATAGCTCCCTTCCTTTTGTGAAAGCATTTTTATTTTGTTTTTTTTTTTTTTTTTTTTCAATTTTACCTAAAACATTTTCATGGTATACAAAGCACTAGAGGTCGGCCGGGAGACCAACGGGACTCAACACGAAGCCCTGGCGGCAGGGGCGGATCTACTGGGGTGGCATGGGGTAGCAGTTGCCACCCCAAATGAGACCCTTGCCACCCCTGTTGCCAGCCCCAGCTGGCGACTATGAATTTAATGAATAGTTATGTCAAATCGCATGGAACTCTTTTTTCCGATAACATTGAATGCAACACAACGTATCCTGACACCTACTGCTAAGTAGGGGCAAGTGCGAGAGAAGGACAGAGCGCGAGGCAGTAGCTTTGATGGATATACGTTACTGGACTCGATATTACATGGCTTATCGTGTGCCACACACGCGCCATTGCTGTCCATTGAGTCAGGAATATCGGTGGTCAGGAAAATACTACAGTCACGCAAAGAATCTGAAAAAGGGAGGCAATGTTTAGTGGTTAATTCATCCTTATGACAGCCATAGATAATAAGGTTCATGAGTTTCAGATTTAACAGGTGAGAAAAAAGTTTTAACTTAAAGAAAACATTGAGAAAGTGAGCAGTGAGTCGGTTATGCTAGCCTAACTGTTGCTAGCCTGACTTTGGCAACCTTAGCATGTGCTGCGCAGTTTGCAGCAGGGCCGAGCGCAAATCGTGACACCGCACCTACTAATGGCACTTCGGGTGGCAGGTGTCATTATGCGCCACAAGTGCCACTGTTTTCGGGGCTAGCTGCCAGTGTTGTCACTGACTTCGGCTGACCACGGTGTCACGGTGCTCCTTCTGCTTGGTTACTTCTTGCTTATTGCGCCTTGGATATGTTCATAGTTGAGAGTTGTTTACCGTTACTTGCTATGTTTAACGGTGCAGATAGTTGTGGTTTCTGACATTGGCAATATGGGCAACCGCCCAGGGCGTTTTTTTTTTGTTTAGGGATGGCAGGAGACCTCTGCTGATTGTGGCACAGAGATGAAAGCAAAACAGAATGAAGAAGAGTTTGAATTGATACTGGTTACATTTATTTCAGCTCTAAGCATAGGCGTAGGAAACGGGGGGTACAGGGGGAACATGACCCCCCCAATATTGGAGAGAGCCACATTCGTTCCCCCCCCAATAATTTCACCGCAGTTACGAAGAATTTTAAAATCTTCCACTCGCGTGCTTTTATTTTGAAGGCGCACAACAGCGCATTCAGCAGAGTGCTTGCTCCCTCCTATCCCTCTGCCCTCTGAACGGCTCAGAGTAAAGGCAGCAGCAGACAGAGTCAGAGAAACTCTGTTTGAATGAGGTAAACTGTCTGTCAGGAATGTTGCCATGAATATCGCTCGTTTATAACATCTTGTTGTCAGTTTACTTTCATATATAGAACTAAATCTTTTAGGTTAAGCCGTTTTAATTCTGGGATAGTCACATGTCCAAAATTTTACTGCTAACTTTGTTTAAAAGTTAGCTAGTTTAGTCATAATGATTTAGAATGAGACTGAAACAGCAACGGAATTTTTATTATTTAAAGTGAGCAACATCTGATCATACTCGACCACTTAACATGTATTTATATATTATATTATATTATATTATTTAGATATTTAGGAGAACAGCAGTGCTAGAATGATGTTGAAAGGTGAAGAAGCTCTGGTGAGGTCTTCATTTAGTTTATTGAAATATGTATTAACTGTTTTTAATTTTTAAATAAACTAAACTATTTTATTATGAAGAGGAGCAGCTCAGGGAAGACATAGGAGAGCCAGGTGGAGTTTCAGGGTGTGAAGATATAAACATTATATTAATAAGAATAGAACCAGAAAGGAGAACAGGAGGAGACTGATGTCAGGTTGATTTCTTTCAACGTTTCAATATTTTTTTCATTATTTCCACACCATAAGGTTAATGGTTAGGAGACAATAAGAAAAGTGCTTGAGGAGAGGTTTAAAAATAAATTAATGAAAATTTTTGCTACACAGTAAATAGAGTTGAGATGTATAATAATGTATACATCTGAAAATTAAGTTGTTTAAATTCTCATAAAAATTATGATGCATAGAATCAAATATCTAAGTCTAAACTATGTTACAGAGTAAACACAATAAAAACATGCTTTATCTGTGGCATTGTTCATTAAAATGGCACATTTCTGATGTATTAAAATTAAATACAATCGGTACACTTAATGATATTAGTGATTAGGTATTATTCAGCATCCTTTTACTTTTAATACTTAAGTATTTTTAAAGCCAGTACTTTTTTACTTTTACTTAAGTACATTTTTTGAGTACTTTCTCCACCACTGTGTTTACATAATGAACAAAATACATTACGTATTATCTTTATATTTCACAGGCTTTGAACAATATCCCACAATTAAAAATGTGTCCGGAAAAACGTCCTTCCTCCTGACTCCCAGTCCCGTCTGTCTCCCAGCAGAATGTGTACTTCACCAGCTCCCAGCAGATCCACCTCGGCGTTCTCAGTCCAACCATCGACGACGACGACAACAAGTGTCTGGTGGATGTGAACAGCAGGCCCAGGCTGCTGGAGTGCAGCTACGCAGCCACCAAACACATGAAGCTCACCTGGACTTTCGCTCAGGTGAGTCTCGGCAGCGGCCCTCACATTTCTACCTGGTTTAAAAATGTTGGCTCCTTCGTTTAAAATGACCACTGTGCTTCCATCTGACTGGATTGCTTACTGGCACTTTGCAAGAAGCTGCTGCTTTCTGTTTTCTGTCTGCTTTGCCGAGCAGTGTTAATGCTTTAAATAATTAAATTGGATTCTGGCCTCTTCCTCTCCAATTTGTTTCCGACTCGAGGCGCCCCCCCTGGTTTTGTCAGAGCACAGATCATTCATCTGCCGTTTTATGTGACAGGCGTTTTAAAAGCACGTCTGCCTCCGTTGGATAATGAGCTTACACACGTCCACGGTTCCAGGCTTATAACAACCCTCGCTTATTTCATAATCTTCACACTTTTAATGTTGACTTAAAGTGTGACATATTAGTTGAGGGAGCTGGATAATTAGTAACAAGAAGAAACGGCTACATTCAAGCTCCGGGCTTCTCCGGGTTGTTTGCACTTGTACACATTTTTCTGTATAACTTGTGCCCTCTGTTTTTTGCCTGTTGTTCAGATTGGAAAAAATTACTTTACAATCATACCGACAATTCATCTCTACCCCCACTGAACCTCCAGCATCCTCAGAGAACGATACGACCTCACCTTTCTCCGGCGCTTTAGGTCCTTCAGTTTCCGTGGTTTCTGGGCAGACTGGCAGGGGAGTCGGGCTCTAATTAGCATCAGCCTGAATCAGAGAGATTCTCACTTTCAATTCACGTCCGGAGTCAAAGTATAGAGACCCATGAGGCAAACCCCCACGGGGTTTTTTTTTATTCAAAAGAAAACTCCATTTTCTCCATGAAAAGTTTGAAGAAGTTAAATAACGCCCTGAGACAGAATGAGTTCTACAAGAGCAGATGAAAGTTTAGATGTCTAAAAAGTTTAAATGTATAGGAGGAGTGCTATGAATGAGTAGTGTGAAGTTTGACCACTTTTACCAAGTCAAATGTATTTACCTTTGTAAGATTGACACTTTCCCTTCATCTTTTTGATTATCTGATTGGAAGAGCTGAGCCAAATATAGCGGGTTTTTTTCTTTTTCCTTTTGTTGTGACCAGATGTTATGTTTTACTAATAAGTTACTTCACATATTTTTAGTTTTGTAAATAGAAATAGGTTTTCTCATTAAGTGAGTTGCATTTAAAAAAAATAATAATAATTAAATTGAAAACTAAGCTTTTATTCAGTTTCCCTTATTTTATTTTTTTTTTTAACTTGGAACAAAATAAAAGATTCTATAAGGATAGAAAATAAGTAGGGTTAGGATTAGGATGTGTCTTAGTACAATAGTCTCTAGTGGACCAGATATAAAATTGTCAACATTTTTAGCAGGATCCTTTTCATGATCATCTTTTTCTGTGCCGTTTTTTTTTTTTTTCTTTTACTTTTATCAATTATTAAACTGGACTTCTATAATCACAAGTACATTGTAGCCATGGTCAATCACAAGCATAAAGCTCAGCAACAATCAGCGATTACTTGGCATACTCTCATTGTGCAAGACGAGATTTCCTTTAAACATGAATCACAGGGGCGTCACGCAGCGCAGTGGTCAGAGCGGGCGTTCCCATATACAGAGGCTACAGACCTCGACGTGGCGGTCACCAGCTTGACCGCCACGTCGAGGCGGCAAAGACATTCGCTTCCTTTGCCGCATGTCTTTGTCCCTTCTCTCTGCCCCCTTCCTATCGGATTACTGTCAAATAAAGGCCACCAGTCCCGACAAATTTATTGAAAAAAAAAGGAAAAACAATCACAAAAGGTCAAACCAGACCGGAGCATTTTAAAGCCAAATTTATTTAGTTTATTTGGAGTTGGTCCTGAATTGCTCTCATCAGGTCAATGAGAAACAAAATCTATGGCTAAACAAATCATTGTTAATTTGGTTTACGAGTCTCAGAGCCTTTTCTTTCAAGGTGACGGTTGTGGTTCTTAGCTAAATCAGCACACTCATAGCAGTGTGTGTGTGTAAAATTAAGCATTGCTGCCATTTTTAAAGCCCTGTTGCTTTTCATTTCAATAGCATAAGAAGATTCACTGCAAAAAAAAAGTGACACAAAGAAAATAATGGTTGTATATTTAACACTATTGTGCATAATTTGATTACCAGACAATAAAATATTTTGCCACATGACCCCTACTATCCCCAGATGCCAGAAATCCCTCATAAGTCTTTATTGTTATGGATAGTAGAACAACTTTGACTAAAGTGATGAGCAATGATTGTATGGTAACATTAATTAATGAATCACATTTCAGTGCCCAGGCTGGTCACTCCTGCACTATGCTGTCTGCATTAATGTCACTCAATCCCCTTGACTTCCCAAATTCTTGAAATTGAAAGTGAAACTGACAGGCTGACATATGCCAAGACTAATTTAGTCAATAATTATCTGATCACTTGAGGGCACATGTGCAGTGATGGAATGTCATTCCCAAGCTTTCAGATTATTGTCATGGAGGCCCTCAGGGGACAAGGGTGGAAAAACGCAAGAACAAAACTTGGTTTCTTGTGTGCATCAGATACGCCTGGCAGCCCAAACGCAGACTGCTGTACAGCAATGGTTCTCTCAAAATTATTAATAAGTACAAACCACTGACCCCGGCATTCTGCATATCCTCACCTGATTTTCAAAACTGTTTCATAAAATAGTTTTAAATAATAAAACACATTATTTTAGCTCTACAGCTGATCTTTAGGCTATAGGCGATGCATAGCAGCTCTGCTTAAAAATGAATGAAGCCTATAGCTAAAAGAAATAGAAGTTGGGTGGATTTCTGCAGACAGAGGAGGAGGAAAGCTAAAAATGGAGATAGATGAGTGATTAAAAAATAAAGAAATAAAACACAAAACTGGAGTGTGTGGGCAATGAAAAAAAAAAACACAAAGGTTTTTTTGACCATGATGAAAAAAAAATGAAGCAAACCAGACCACAGGCATCTTGTGATGTGAAGCAGGCAGTCTGAATTATTAATAAACTGATTTTTTAAAATATTAAAGTCAACTTAATTCTAACAGAGCAGATATCAGAAGGGGAAAGAGCTGAGAAAAAAAGAAATTCAAAGAAACGTTACAGACAGCTGGGTAAATCCTCTAAATCGTACTAACTAGAGTTTACTATTGATATGATGCCCATTGCATCTTAGTTGTTCTGCTTTTATTAGGTTGTTAATGAGCAGAACCTACTCTTTGGACAGCCAATAAAAAGTTTCATTTCACAGTGTTGAGGAGTTTGTCACTGTTGGTTAGATTTACAAGAGAGTAAAGCAGCAGAGTCAGAGTGCACCGTCAGGCCGTCCAGCATAGCGCCTAATCAGCAAAAATTGTCCGCTTTCAAATGAAGTCAAAGCGTTCGCATCGAGTGAAACAGCAGTTTCTTTTTTTTATTCTACTACACTAAAAGGGGACGCAGCAATAAGAAAATAATAAATATGAGGCAGCACTTAGCATTTTCCTGCTGCAAATTTGACATCTATTATTAAATATGAAGCTTAATGTGCAAATTTGGGCCCAAGCACACTTGACAAAAACTCTTTTTTTAAACGATGAACACCAACTCTTGCTTTCTTAACACTGCAAATACAACGGAGGCTAAAATCGGAGACACTGTTATTACTGAATATCCATGTCTGCACTCGGTCTGTGTTGTGACAGCAGTAGCACATCGACCAATCTTTCACTCCTGAGGTTTGACTGGACATCGGGTCAGGTGATATAGGGATCGGGTGGCAGTCGTGTGGAAAGGTCTGGGTGTGTCAAATTTCTGCATACATGCGAAGGATAGATGGACTTTGGCTTTGCTTGCGGTAATCTTGGCAGAGCTTCAGTTCGTCCAGGTGAAGGCAAACCCGAGCTAAAACGGATTGGTCTCGAGTTACCAATATACGTATAGACGATGACAGGGAGAGGAACTCAGTCCTCCAGTGGACGATTGGTTTAGAGTTGCGTCTCTTAAGCGTCAAAGGTGTGGTTCAAGAACTGTCAGAAGTTTTTTTGTGTTTTTTTTTCCTGCGAAAAGGTAGTCATTCCTCTCCCTTTTCTCTATATCCATGCAAAAGGATAAAAAAAATTGCTGCAAAATTACTGACTTCATACAACTAGCTAGACTTTCTTCTGACCCAATATTCATACAGTCCTCTAGTTTTCATGGTATACGACAAGTGGTTTTCTCAAATAGTTCAGGAAGAAATGCGATGTATACAGAATATCAATTGAACAGCGAAGATTTTATTTCAAACTGCTTCTCTAGTCAGAGTAACCGAATCATGAGGGAATCTTGGCCCAGTTGTAGAAATCTGTGGTGTCCCAGACTTTTCCTTAGAATGTTTTCCAAGCACATCAAGAGTTTTCTGTGTGATCAAACAAAACACCTGTTTCCATCAAACTTGGTAGCTCATTGTTTTTTTTTTTTTTGTTTTTTTTTTTTTTTTGGTTTTTTCCCCCAAAATAACCACAGGCAAAGGGAAGGGGTTGGGGGAAAAACAAAAAAA